ATTAAAAGTTCTATTAATTACAATTCAAATTATTAATACGTAATATTCAAATTTTCTTCAATCTGGTTTAAAATATAAAATATCGTTCCATATGCTTGACAAAATATTAGTTTTTTTTTTATACCACTGAGGTGGCAAACAAGCATACGGCCCACCTGATGGTAAGTGGTTACCGTAGCCTATGAACACTTGCAATACCCGAGGTATTACGCGTGCGTTGCCGACCCTGAAGAAACCTCTTTACCCCCCTTTTGAAGAACCCCATGCTGTAGTCTCTTGGGAAAACCTCGGCAGGGAGCTCATTCCACAATCTGAGCGTTCGTGGGAGGAAACGGGAGTTTTTCTAGTTTCTTGAACATTTGACAGACTTGGATTTAGCTGTCTTTAATTTTATAAGCCTCAATTATGCTTAATCTGCTGATATGCCTGTGTTCATCGGCTGACGTGTTGCTAGCAGTGTCGCAATAAATGTCATCAGACAACTGCAGCGTGTGCCCTAAAAATAACTCTGCCGAGCTTGCACTCTCGTCGCCAATGCACTGCGCACGTAGGAGTAACGTAAGCAACTAGCAAGCCTTCCTGCCCCACCTCACGTCGCTTTTTATTTTGCCCAGCATTTTAATGACACGCTATAACGCTACACAAACAATATACCCCGTCAGGTCGACCTCCCCGTGGTCTACCCTGGAAACCGTCCTGCTGAAGGGGGAATGGGATTGTTAGTAATTGAGACTGAGAATCCCATTGCTAGCAATATACCCAACCAAGTCGACCTCCTCGCGGTTCTCCCTGGGAACTATCATGGTTAATTCCTGGTGAATTCATCAAAAACTTCTTCTAATATTATTCCATCCTTGTCTCAACCCACCCTTTGTAGGGGGGAAAGGGATTGTTAGTAATAGAGACTGAGAATCCCATTGCTAGCAATATACCCAACCAGGTCGACCACGCCTCCTCCTCCTCGTGGTTCTCCCTGGAAACTATCATGGTTAATTCCTCAGAATTCATCACGATGGGCTAACTGGCCTGTTTTCATTCTCATCTATCACCCTGCACTGGTGCTCCGCCAGCGTATCCCTTTAGCGCAGGCGGGGTTACTATACCATTTTCACCCACCAAAAAAACCGTCCTGCTGAATTCCAGTCGTATCATGATGTATGTATCATGACAAGCTAATTGATCTGCCTTTTCATCCTCATTTATCACCCTTCACTGGTACCCCGCCAGCGTATACCGTTAGCGTGGGCGATTTACCATTCCATTATAATCCATTAAAAAAAAACCATTCTGCTGGATTCCAGGTATATCATCATGACAAGCTAACTGATCTGCCTTTTCTTCCTCACATACCATCCTACACTGGCGCCACTTCATTACCATCTTATTAAAAAACGTCTAAAATAATATTTTATCAGAAAAGAAAAAAGAATTTTCCAAATTGATTTATAAATAACGCTAAGAAGTAAATAAAAAAATAGAACCACCGTCATTTTCATGTAACGTAATATAATTAACTTAGCTAATGATATTTTAATAAATCTTTGAATTCATTTTACAGTCAATCAAAGGAAACCAAATTTCATTACGAACAAGTCCGATAATTTTTACAGAGAATCTCATTTGTATTATTATTAAGTTTAGTAGAATTTTACATACATATATATATATATATTTTTATAGAACTTAGAAAGGCAAACAAGCTGACGGCCCACCTGATGGAAAGTGGTAACAGTCGCCTATAGACATGAGCAGTGCCATGGACATAACAGAGTATACTGTTTCGCCCATGATACCCTCCATGTGTTGCCACTCCTGAGCACTCAGGTGTTATTTCTCTGTACCCTGTAAATTCACGCCATATCCTACCCTTCAAACCGAAACACAGTCATGCAAACACAACTGCTTTACCTCAGATTCCCCTCCTTAATCTATATCTTATACAAATTACAAATTCTAACTTAAAACCGATATTAATAATCTCAATACACATTTAACCTCAAATTAAGTCTGTGCTTAGAACGACGAATATGTATCTATAAGGCGGGTATATTTAAATGAATTTTTATTGATCTACCCCAAATACCAGAGGGAGACTTTGTACAAAAGTCGATTGCTTAGGTACCTCTGTCCCATTCGTGTTTCAACTGTAAAGCAGTTGTGTTTGCATGGCTGTGTTTCGGTTTGAAGGGTGGGATATGGCGTAAATTTACTGGGTACAGAGGAATAACACCTGAGTCCTCAGGAATGGCAACGCATAGGGGGTATCATGGGCGAAACAGTATACTCTGTTATGTTGTCCATGGGACTGCACATGTCTATAGGCAACGGTTACCACTTTCCATCAAGTGGGCCGTCAGCTCGTTTGCCATTCTAAGTTGTATATAAATAAACTATTATGTATTTGTAAAAGCCTAACTGCGGTTGCCAACCTACCTGCCAAGCGTGGCAACTACTGGCAAAACTCCCCTTATGGGAAGGCTAAACATACGTTCAGCAGTGGACAGTTAAGGGTTGAAACAATAAATGTTTCAACTTAAATTTAAAATAAGTATACGAACCGACCATTGCGTCATCAATCTTTATTACCGAGACAGAAAAGTTTTATATACCACTCAACTAATTATGTACCTTCAACGGATGTATATAGGCACTTATATATCTGTAGAGATCCGGGTATATTACCCGGGTGAAATAAACGAGAAACTTAAAGCGAAACCCCGCCTACGCCATCGGGGCGTGTCCATGCACCCAACCACTCCTACCCACCCATCCCTTTCGGGATAGTAGCCGTTTTTCCGGGAATCTTATGTAATATCACCGTGGGGTGGATGGTGGACATTTGTTTTTAGTAGACGCCCGGGATTATTAAATCTACAGAACGAGCGTACCCAAGATGGCCGCTGATTTATGTAACTTACATAGGCTATGTATCTTGAGACTTTGTTATGTTTCCCAACTGGAGTTTCGTGTAATAAATCGAGCAATAAAAAAGTGTGGAAACTACAAAGTTTTGAAATAACACGACGCTGTTTGTGTTATTTTTAACAAATTTCGTCGGTGGATACGTTTCTTGTGTTTTTTTATCTACCATCGTTTGTTGATAGTTTGCACACTCAGAAGGAAAACGGGTTATCTGCAATTTACATTGATTGCCTATTATTTTTATTTCAATTTTTTATCTTGTAAATCTTTTTTTATAAAATATATAGGAAATGACTACATCATGATCATTATAATTATTATATAACAATCAATTGTTAATATTAAAAATGTGAAACTGAGTTTGTCACCTAATAGTGCCTTATCGGCTTACCCAGTCGCTATACAATTTGGTATACACGTATTATACGGAACAGAAAAGGGTATAGGCTATTTTTATAGGCTACTTTCTATCCCGATTACTTAGACGAAGTCACGGGTAATTGCTAGTAAACAATATTTTTGCTAGAAGCATTTAATTGTTAATACTAACGTAATGAGAAAAAGTGGGCTTAAATACTTAAGATACAAATCTTAAGTATAAACAATATCATTTTTCATTATCAACGTAATATCCCACTGCTGGGCATAGATCTCTCCTTAAAAAAAAATAATAATGGCTATTACAACATAATACTGGGCAGGTAATTTACTATAGGCTTTCAATTTATTTTGTTAAACTTATCTATTCTGTTACCGTCACAGACTAATAATTATGCCATTCTGAAGTTATTATGATGTGTTTCTGTGATTTTTCAATACATTAACAAGTATTAAAACATTTTTTTCCGCCTACGACTACATTATTGATTGTGATATTTAAACTGACAGGATTAAAACTATCTTATCTCTCTCTTTCTCTCTCACACACACTTTCTCTTTCTGAAGTACTATATTTACTCAGTTTATAATAACTAGTTAACATGTTATTAAAATGCCAGACGGTGACAAATAAAAAAGAAACATATTCAAATTCACATTTATAATATTAGTAAATTTTTTATATAATTTAAAGTAAATTAACCGATTATAGAATGTATTATTTTCATATATTATTATATATTAATATTTTTTCACTGCAAATATAATAATCATACCTATATCTCATAACTATGATATTTGAGAATATTTTTATTTATTTATTTAAACTTTTATATACAGTGAAAGTCTGTATACATTTTCTACTAGTCAACCGTACGGGCAAACCGAGATTTATTTCTCGGTGCATTATTGAATAGCGGAAAAATAATGCAATACTTGATATATTCATACGATATAAACATATAATTAGACTAATATAAACATACACATACTATGGAAAATATTTGAATATAGACATATAATAAATACATACATAAATAATTACATAAAATATGATTACATCAAATAATTTTTTATTATTATTTCAAATTTACCAGAGGGAGACTTTGTACAAAAGTCGATTGCTTGGGTACCTCTGTCCCGTTCGTGTTTCAACCGTGAAGCAGTTGTGTTTGCATGGCTGTGTTTCGGTTTGAAGGGTGGGATATGGCGTGAATGTACTGGGTACAGAGGAATAACACCTGAGTCCTCAGGAATGGTAACGCATGGGGGGTATCATGGGCGAAACAGTATACACTGTTATGTCCATGGTACTGCTCATGTCTATAGGCGGCGGTTACCACTTTCCATCAGGTGGGCCGTCAGCTTGTTTGCCATTCTAAGTTGTATAAAAAAATAATAATAATTACAATTAGAGAAATTTCAATTTACACCTTTTCGTTAACAAACGCAACGGCATTCCTATAAAAGGCGCGATGCGCATGCACACCGCGCACTTGGGTGACGTAGTAGGACGTGAGTATTTGCATTGATTCAAAATCTAATCTCTGAACAAAATGGCGGTTGCCATGCGGGCGCCATTTTAAGCACGTGCCTTTTTAACTATCTTAATTCAAACCAAACTCAAATTTAGACTGTTCCCAAATGCACTATTTCGAATAAACAGTGCTTTGATATTAATATTTTCTTTTTTTTTGCAGTGAGCCAGGGTACCTGCTAGAAGCCCGTGGCCTGCGGCGGTATGGTAAGTACAATAGATTTAATTTACTTTACATCGGGATCCCTTTCGAAATAAGCAGTGAGTATCTTATTAAACCTCATCCCTGCATGCATTTTCTTCATCCACATTCACATGTCATCTCATGCATCAGTGTACCATGCCATGACTCATGACATACGATCTTCCCATAGGATTATATACTTTTTTTATTCAAACTAGCTGATATTGCTACTTCGCAAGATATTCGCGTACCCGCTGCTGAATATAGGTCTTCCCTATAAGATTTGCCAATAGTTGCTACGCTTGGCAAGCAGGTTGGCGAAATTGGTTAGGCTTTAGTTATGTTTTAAGAGACACTGCCACCCATATGTTTTCTTAGTCGCCTCTTAAACACCTACGGAAAAGGAAGGGGTGGTTCATTCTACGGCGGGGGCCCATACTGCGTAAATTAACGTACAATTTTTCCAGAAGTGTTGTTTAAATGTTGCATTTGTCAAGTTTGACAAGATTACAGAGCGTGGTTACCGGAAATGTGAAAAGGACTCCATTTTCCGCGCTTAGCAGAGCGTGGTTACCGGGTCGGAACTTATTTTGCAATTTAATTTGTAATTAATAAATTTATTTATTTATTTAAAAATTCAATAAATAAATATTCTTTATTACATAAATAATAATATTAATTAATAATTACAGGCAGCGATGTACTGCCAACGGCGGCAGGCCTCGGAGCGCCCGGTGCGGCGGCCGCCGGCGTCGATGGACGCCGCCCGGCTGCGCGACTGGCCCGCGCCGCTCGCCCGGCTCCAGGCGAGCCGTGCGATGCAAAAGCGCCTTACTCGACATATTTTTCTGTAAGTACTTCCTTCTTTTTTACTTCCAATAGCAAAAAGATTTTTTAAAGAGCATAGTATAAGGAAAAATAGAGGGCAAGAGAAGAAAAGGAAGACCGAGGAATAACTACACGGGACAGATAAAGAAACGCTAGGTGTCATGTCGTATAGGGAGGTCAAGGATATGGCCTGGGATAGAGCTGGCTGGAAGAAGATGCATGAATTAGTTGCACCGACAAGAGGAAACTCTTAAATGAAAAGAAGAGACCAAAATGAGACAAAGAATGATAGAAAGTGGTGATCGTCGCTTAATAAACACTGAGATGTGTTAGTGATTACCTGTTTTAAACCAAAACACATTCTTGCAAGCTGCTTAGCGGCAACAGCATGAATGAGTCAGAGGTACCAAACTGGATTACGTTTTGCAGTCTCCCGCTGGTAAACTTTGGTGAAATTTGGTAATAATTCAATAAATATCTTAATATACTTGGATAAGCTTGGGATTAGATTGGATTTGATAAACTTGGATTGGAAGATCTATTAATTTTCTCTCATTATGTATTTTTAGTTAAATCTTATGTGTGAAAATTCTGAACCGATTTTTATACTCCCTTTTTCAATCTATATAGGGTTTTGTATACGAAGGTGGTAATAAATCAATACAGTCCACTGCGTATACATATTCACCATTGTATTATGGTCCGATTATATCCATTCTTTTTTTAATCTAAAATGTTTTATGTTTAATTAAAAAGGCTTCTTTTCTTGTTTATTGAATTACAGACTCATTTGTTATTTTTTTTGCTATGATTAAATTATAAAACGTTTCAATGTTTTTTGTTGCAGATCGTAGCTGTAGTTTATCGACAGATACCGTCTGGTAGAAAAATAATGACAATTATGAAACCAGCCCCTTTAAATTATCATACGCAAGTTTATTCTAACACAAATAATGTATGTGTATAAATCGAGCGTTTAAGCATGTGAACTCGTTCACCAATGCTTGTATTATAGTTTATGGACTTGATAAATGTAGATCATTATTCCGTACGCTTTCTTAACATTGTCTATGCTCATTTAGTCTTTAAGCGATAATAAGTTAAGTTTTGTTTCTGCAAGTTTTTCGTTTTTGTTATAAGTCAGCTAATTGGTCCAGATAGACGTATGTAATGCATATTTCTTTATAAAAAAAACATTATATTTTCTACTATTATCTTTCGTTTTATTAGTCTCCTTTAAACCTTTGTACGTATATTTATTGTTGCGCTCGCTAGTGGCATTTATTTAAAGATTTTTATTTAAAAAAAACTGTAGGCAGGGATAAAATTACATCAGAGGGAGACTTTGTACAAAAGTCGATTGCTTGGGTACCTCTGTCCCATTCGTGTTTCTACCGTGAAGCAGTTGTTTGCATGGCTGTGTTTCGGTTTGAAGGGGGGATATGGCGTGAATTTACTGGGTACAGAGGAATAACACCTGAATCCTCAGGAATGGCAACGCATGGGGGGTATCATGGGCGAAACAGTATACTCTGTTATGTCCATGGTACTGCTCATGTCTATAGGCGACGGTTACCACTTTCCATCAGGTGGGCCGTCTATTCATAACTATTTTAAAATTCTCAGATAAGAATATTTTATTTTTACTTCGGAGAAGTAAAATGGATTCTTACCTGAACTTAAAATACATAAATTCATTAAAAGCTAAATAACGTTGAGCAATAAACATGAATTTTAAGAATTTTTATATTTATAATGTATCTAATATAATTATAAATATAAAAATTGTTTAAATGTTTGGTTATCATCCTTGGTTGCCCATCCTTCGACCATTTTATTAGTTCTTTGTAATATGAAATTTGTCATGTAAGCTACTTTTTTATCTCGAGCTTAGAATGGCAAACGAGCTGATGGCCTAGCTAATAAGATATGGTAAATAGGTTAGCAAATACCAAAAACAGTTCAACAATGGACAATTGGCAGTTGAATTAAATAGAAAAAAAAAACTTAAACTGTAAAAGTGTCACATCGTGTCCAGTAAACAAACGTTGCTCGATAGAACACTAATACGCTGGGTAAGTGGTGAACTCGCCCGCTCTTGGCTTTGATCCCGCGATATTGACTGCATCTCATTTGCACCACGCACACGGGTGAGGTTTTCACATGAAAAAGTTTAGAATTTTTTTTTTATCTACATTCAATTTGGGATTTTTGTTTTTTAACATGTCAATCCCATAAAATCTAAACAAGTTATCTACTATTATAATTATGACTAAGCAATACTACTTACTAATTCACTTAAGCACAAAGCAATTTTGGTAGTAGGAGCATGCATTAAGCTCTGAACAATACCCATATCAAATTTATTAATATTAAATGTTTTTAAAAATGTTTCCCTTTCCCATCGGTTGCTATCACATTCCATCAATAGGTGCTGTACATCTTCAACTTTTCCACAGACAATGCAAAGACAATGCAATTTGTTGAATTTTCTTTTTTCATTAAATATGCAAACTTTATTAATGGATAAACTTTGAAAATTTTATTGAGTCATTTTGATTGGTATTTTTTAAACTATCCTTTTGTTGCACAGTTATACCTCTCATTATGATTATATCAGCCATTGTCTGGTTACTATTGAACATATACTTCACTCATAAACTGCCATAAGGAGCTGTCCTAAGCCATCTTTTTTTGTATACAACTTAGAATGGCAAACAAGCTGACGGCCCACCTGATGGAAAGTGGTAACCGTCGCCTATAGACATGAGCAGTACCATGAACATATCAGTACACACACACACACACATACTGTTTCGCCCATAATACCCCCCATGCGTTGCCATTCCTGAGGACTCAGGTGTTATTCCTCTGTACCCAGTAAATTCACGCCATATCCCACCCTTCAAACCGAAACACAGCTATGCAAACACAACTGCTTCATGGTTGAAACACGAATGGGACAGAGGTACCCAAGCAATCGACTTTTGTACAAAGTCTCCCTTTGGTAAAATGTTATTCGCATGATTAAATTAATAGTGTCCACAGTGAATAAAAAGTCAGCCGGTGTGATCCGAGCCGGGCTTTCCGCTAAGCACCCCCCAATGTCCCTCGCAAAATATTCAAATGAAGATCATCTGTTACTTCGCAGGCTTTTTGCCCGTGCCGCGCGCCATCTTGCGACCGTCCCACTCATAATATTGTTTTAGAAAATATTACGTCAGATTACGCACTCTTTTCAATGAGCTTATTTTCACATAATAAAAATGTCACTTAAATTGATACATTTAATTTTATCAATCCAAATGTGTCCAACCAATAAATTTTATAAATACTGGTTTATTACAAACACACTATCTAAAATACAAGCAAGTGGATGGCAAATGTTGTTACTGGTATGAGTACACTTTTTTTTTATACAACTTAGAATGGCAAACAAGCTGACGGCCCACCTGATGGAAAGTGGTAACCGTCGCCTATAGACATGAGCAGTACCATGGACATAACAGAGTATACTGTTTCGCCCATGATACCCCCATGCGTTGCCATTCCTGAGGACTCGGGAATGGCACACACAACACAAACACACATTAGTATATGCATGTATATGTGTACAAATATGTAAGTGCATACATGCATATGTGTGTATATGTATGTGTATGTATAAAGATATAAATTTAGTCTATAGAATTAGGATATAAGTTCATAATTGTTTGTAAAGCTGTATGTACAAGAGCGCAAAGCTGCAGACAAACTGCAATGCAGTTTGGCGGCACTAAGAATATGTATTGTCTATGTAACTGTTTACTTTAAATAAATAAAAAAAAAAACAAAGAAGAAAGCATTATGTATATAATGGCCACGAAAGGAATGCCACCCATCCCAGGAGTGTCAATAATGAAGAGTGCCACAGGCGTCACAGTGTAATGAAGTTACAACTATTTATTGCCAAAAATTAACCGAAAGATTCGGCCACGCTGACACTTTGTGTATGTGTTTGTGTTGTGTGTGTGTTTAACTAAAAGTTGTTTTTTTTTTAAGTTTACTTCCAAGAGTAAGTCATAATTTTAACATGTTTTTACATATACCATAAATATATATAACATATTTGTTACATACTTTAATTAGTGTTTATTACCCTTTAACTATCTGTGAGTTTGTGTAAATAATTTTATAAAAATAAAACTAGATTTCAGTATAGAAGAGAAATGTAAAATATGTTTCAGTAAGTTTCGGTTTCGATTTCGGCCGAAACTGAGACCAAGGCCGAAAGCTCGGTTTCGGTTTCGGCTGTAAAACCTGTTTCGGTCGGATACTAACAAATATACACACAAAGAGACATATTTATATTAATACAATTAATTTCTAAACACACCCAGTTTGACAGGCACGAACAGTTTGTATGGGAAAATAAAATTGTTGCTTTTGATATTTTCCTTGCAATTCGTTTATACTTTCTCACATTTTGTATCTTCCTTGGATTTCTACAAATATTCCAAAATTATTCGGCTAATTGTGGTTTAGATTTGACGGTCCAGCCGTTATCAAATTTAAGTGAGACTAACAAACTTTAATTTATGTATACGTATATTTATGTAGATCTAAACATGTGTAAATAAGCACAGTCAAATCAATACATTAACATATATATGTATATCAATATATATACATATATAACACATATAATTCTGGTAGGAAATAAAAAGAAATAAGTGGTTGTAAAGATAGGTAGTGGGATTTAACTAAATTTTTTAAAATAGCCAGAAATTTAGCATAAATATATAAATTATATTCCTGCTAATCCTTAATATTATAAATAAGAAAGGTAACTTTGTTTGACCTCGAAATGATACTTGTAAAGTAAAAGCAAAAAAAAAAAAATACATAACTCAATCTCAATTTTTTTCCGTTAAAACATACTTCATTTAGAAACATAACACAGTTAAGCCATTAGCATAGTGTCAACATTAGACAGGTACAAATGCCTCTACAAAGGCACTCGTTCGCGCATAAATTGAAATGAGATGGCGAATTAAAAAATAAATCAAAAGAGGATTTTTCCCGACGCGTCGCCGACGGGGAAATTGGAAAAATGAGGCGCCCCACCGGGCGGGGGCGCGTTCCCGTTACCCTCTCTTCCGTATGTAGGTCGAGATCGGCTGTCAAATGGAATTATTGATCGGAAACTAGAATTTGTGCTTGCCATTTATTCCAATAGTCTTATTTATTTATTTTATCAACTGAGTCAGCTTTACAGTTTCCCAATACGCTCATCCAGGAATACATCAGTACAGTAACACATGTATAATTAAATGGAATTATATTATATAAATTTAAATCACAACCTATAATATAAATAACGTTAGATTTAAAATCTTTGAACACAAACACTCCATGGTCATTCGACGAAACTTCAACAAGTTAGAGGCAAACACGTCTATATGCGGATATGGGCTCAAAACATCATTGAGTAGTTTCAATGCAATAGACAGAGAGGAGCTTGCTTCGCCAACTATGTTCTTCTTAACTACATGCTCGCACGTAGTTACCGGGTGCTCCTATTGATATTGATACTAGCATAGTTTGGTTATTATTATTATTATTAGGTCGTCCAATACTATATTGGTTTTTAAATTGCTCGCCGGAATGTAGTCATGTCGAATGCTACATTCGCAAAAGCCAAAAAATACGTTATGTTATGTCATGTTAACCGTTAACTGTCCACTGCTGGACATTTTACAATCAGCCATCAAGTCTCTTTGACATGTCCATATTTTTAAATTATTAATAAAATTTTCAAAATTTTGAGATGTTGATTTTGAAATCACCTAATACACATTTATACCCATGTTTATTATACATATTTATTAGATAAAAAATATATTAATTGTCAGGAATATAAAACAAGATCGGGAATATATTTCCGCTGTCAAGTTACCTGCTTACTCAACTTGTATGAGGGTTTTTTTTTTTTAATTACAGGTGGAATGCGGTAATGGAAACCCTTATCCTCAGAAATGACAATGTATTAGAGGCGTCCCAGTTTATTCGGTTATGTGGAAGACTTAGTTTACGGATTTAGGTTTTGATCAAATAGATTAACAACTTGTTGCCATTATAAATTACATTAAGAATTTTTTTTATTTCTATTTATCCCAAAGGCTGTCGACATTCTCGTAACATGTGATGACGAATATCTGACAAGTGTCGTGTG